TCTTGGCCCTCTCTGCAAGCAGGGAGATGTGAGAACTGTGGGAGTCCACCCTAGAGTCTGCAGGAGTTGAGGTGGCAGAGCCAGAGGAGCAGAGGTGACTGTGTGAGGCCATGGGTAGGTGAACACTCCTCTCTTTCCATTTCCACATCTGAATAGCTCATGCTTTAGTCTTCATCTACATGTTCCATTGGTGAACTAAGAAGTTGCTGGACCAGATGGAAATTTTCCCCTCTAGGAGCCGATCAGATGCTGAGCTGTGCCCAGGCCCTTTGACCTTGGCCCCTTCTCTCATTCTGGCAGGTGGCACAGGCCCTCTGCTCACTTGTCCCACCTGGGCAATAATCCTCCAAAGGAATCTTGGCCTCATCTTTTCCACCCTCTCAATTGTTCCAAGCAGATGTGTCCCACAAGAAGCCTTTTTAGGTCAAATCTCTTCAGGGACACTGCCACCACCACAGAGAACTGGCAGCAAATTCCTTTGGGAAGGAGCTGTGCTCTGGATACACCTGGGCACTGCGTTCTCGCAGCCTGCTTTGTGTGCTGGAGTGGCCTGGCAGATGAGGCAGTGGCATGTCAGCTCACAGAGGTGTTCTTAGGTCTGTTGTACTCCTCATTCTGAGGGTTTGTCACTGCAAGGACACTTGGTGTAGGTGTCCTCACCCACAGTGCTGGGGAGCCCCAGCACTTGGGCTCCCCACGCTGATGGCAACATCCCCAAATCCACGAGGCATTGTAAGGATCAGGCCATGATGGCTGTGAAGTGCTTTGAGACCCTCTCAAACCAGAGACTGTGGAACAGCAAAGTTTTTTCATGCCTCGCTTGTCACCCTTGTCCTGACACACCACATGTGATGTGTTGGCACCACTGCCTGCCCAGAGGATGGGGTGCCCAGGTGTGCCATGGCTCTCGTGCTGCTCACAGTCCCTGCAGGCAGCAGCTCTGCTGTGACCTGCACTGGCACCTTCCTTGCTCCCTTCTCCTGTCGGAGCGCCCGGCACACCCTGCGCGCGGGAGAGGAGCAGGAAGCAGTCACATCCCTCCATACAGTGACAGGTAATCTGCCTTGAGGAATCTCCTGTGCGCTGAAGAACTGGTGTTTTTCTCACACCTGTGGAGCATCCAGTTCCCAGAGTGGGTGTGCAGGGACTGGGGCATGGGAGGAGCTGCTGTGATTTCCTACAGGCTGGTAATTGTTTGCATTCCCTGAGCAGCAACACCTAGGTGTGAGCTGCTCTGGGTTTCCTGCAGCTCTGCTCTGTGTGTCTGTAGACCAAATCCACACACACTGCAGACGCAGTCAGTGAGTTCTGCCTGACACCACATCACCCTGAGCTTCCCAAGGGATCGACTCCCTCTCCGGAATGTGGAAACCTGTTTTTAATGCACCACACAGAGTACCACATGCAGCAGCAATTTTGTCATATAAAGTCTTCTCATGCCACTGAACTGTGTTTTAAGAGGAAAAACGAAATATTTTTCAATGTTTTAATGGTCCTTTTATAACTGATGATCTGTTACTTGGGGATGGGGTGGGTGGGAAGAACCAGGGACAGTTGTCTGGGAGTAAACCCTCCTTTCCTGGCCTGGATTTAAGTTCTGCCTGCTGTTCTGCCAAGCTGGTTCCATGCTCCTGGGATTCCCACAGGCACATTTCTCTTCCTCTGGCTCCTACACACATTCCCACCAGGAATCTGCAAGAGCCTGGCATCAAGTTGTTGTGAGAGGTGGCTAATTCCTGGGAGCTGGAAGATCCACCACAAACCAAACATCATGAACCAGAGTAGCTTCAGTTGTGTTTGAAATCTGTTCTCCTTTGCGATCACTTTGCCATTTCAGTCCATGCAATGGAGAAGCAGCTTAGTTTGGTTCCTGATTTAGTGCTTAGTCCAGGAGGAGGGACTCAGCTGGAATGCAGGGAGCACACCCAGACTTGGGGTTCAGATATAGTCCAGGTGAGTGAAAAGGGAAGAGGGGAGAGATGTGACAAAGGGGCTTCAGTGTTTTCATACCAAGTGTTGTTAGCAATAAGCCTCTTGGGGCTGCTCTTTGGGGAACAGCCACTCTGTGCTCCATGGGAGAAGGGCAGTGAAGATAGTCAGATCATTCCCAGCTTGTGGTGGAGATGCCTTTGACAGCCCAAACCAGCTGGGAAAGCAGCTGTGCTCCCCATGGGGTGAGGGGAGTGTTGGGTGGTCCCCAGAGGTGAAGGGAGAGTTGGGTGATTCTCCAGGGGTGAGGGGAGTGTTGGCTGCTCCCCAGGGGTGAGAGGAGAGCTGGCTGGTCCCACTGGAGGGTGTCAGGAGGTGTGAGCTCCTGCCCTCAGCGCTC